TGAGTGGAAAGGGAAAGGGGCCTGAAACCCCTTGGGTGGGTGAGTGGAAGGGAAAGGGGCCTGAAACCCCTTGGGTGGGTGAGTGGAAGGGAAAGGGGCCTGAAACCCCTTGGGTGGGTGAGTGGAAGGGAAAGGGGCCTGAAACCCCTTGGGTGGGTGAGTGGAAAGGGAAAGGGGCCTGAAACCCCTTGGGTGGGTGAGTGGAAGGGAAAGGGGCCTGAAACCCCTTGGGTGGGTGAGTGGAAGGGAAAGGGGCCTGAAACCCCTTGGGTGGGTGAGTGGAAGGGAAAGGGGCCTGAAACCCCTTGGGTGGGTGAGTGGAAAGGGAAAGGGGCCTGAAACCCCTTGGGTGGGTGAGTGGAAGGGAAAGGGCCCTGAAACCCCTTGGGTGGGTGAGTGGAAGGGAAAGGGGCCTGAAACCCCTTGGGTGGGTGAGTGGAAGGGAAAGGGGCCTGAAACCCCTTGGGTGGGTGAGTGGAAGGGAAAGGGGCCTGAAACCCCTTGGGTGGGTGAGTGGAAGGGAAAGGGGCCTGAAACCCCTTGGGTGGGTGAGTGGAAAGGGAAAGGGGCCTGAAACCCCTTGGGTGGGTGAGTGGAAGGGAAAGGGGCCTGAAACCCCTTGGGTGGGTGAGTGGAAGGGAAAGGGGCCTGAAACCCCTTGGGTGGGTGAGTGGAAGGGAAAGGGGCCTGAATCCCCTTGGGTGGGTGAGTGGAAGGGAAAGGGGCCTGAAACCCCTTGGGTGGGTGAGTGGAAAGGGAAAGGGGCCTGAAACCCCTTGGGTGGGTGAGTGGAAGGGAAAGGGGCCTGAAACCCCTTGGGTGGGTGAGTGGAAGGGAAAGGGGCCTGAAACCCCTTGGGTGGGTGAGTGGAAGGGAAAGGGGCCTGAAACCCCTTGGGTGGGTGAGTGGAAAGGGAAAGGGGCCTGAAACCCCTTGGGTGGGTGAGTGGAAGGGAAAGGGCCCTGAAACCCCTTGGGTGGGTGAGTGGAAGGGAAAGGGGCCTGAAACCCCTTGGGTGGGTGAGTGGAAGGGAAAGGGGCCTGAAACCCCTTGGGTGGGTGAGTGGAAGGGAAAGGGGCCTGAAACCCCTTGGGTGGGTGAGTGGAAGGGAAAGGGGCCTGAAACCCCTTGGGTGGGCGAGTGGAAAGGGAAAGGGGCCTGAAACCCCTTGGGTGGGTGAGTGGAAGGGAAAGGGGCCTGAAACCCCTTGGGTGGGTGAGTGGAAGGGAAAGGGGCCTGAAACCCCTTGGGTGGGTGAGTGGAAGGGAAAGGGGCCTGAATCCCCTTGGGTGGGTGAGTGGAAAGGGAAAGGGGCCTGAAACCCCTTGGGTGGGTGAGTGGAAGGGAAAGGGCCCTGAAACCCCTTGGGTGGGTGAGTGGAAGGGAAAGGGGCCTGAAACCCCTTGGGTGGGTGAGTGGAAGGGAAAGGGGCCTGAAACCCCTTGGGTGGGTGAGTGGAAGGGAAAGGGGCCTGAAACCCCTTGGGTGGGTGAGTGGAAAGGGAAAGGGGCCTGAAACCCCTTGGGTGGGTGAGTGGAAGGGAAAGGGCCCTGAAACCCCTTGGGTGGGTGAGTGGAAGGGAAAGGGGCCTGAAACCCCTTGGGTGGGTGAGTGGAAGGGAAAGGGGCGTGAAACCCCTTGGGTGGATGAGTGGGAAGGGGGTCGAAATCCCGAAGGTGGGTGGTGAGTGAGAGGGAAGGGGGCACCTGAAGGGTGGGTGATTAGTGTGGGTGGAAGGGACAGGGGCCTAAAACCCCTTGGGTGGGTGAGTGCAAGTGAAAGGGGCTGAGTCCCCTTGGGTGGGTGAGTGCAAATGAAAGGGCTGAGTTCCGTTGGGCGGCACATGATTAGCCGTACGGCACTGATGCCACGTGTGGCGATTGTGAGGGGTTGGAGTGAGTGGTGAATGAGAGGAAGGAATGAGGGTGGACAGGGAGTGAGTGGTGAGAGTGCAGTAAGGGAGTGGTGAGTGTCACTGAGTGGAGAGTGGCAAGGGGTACAACAGTGCGCAGTGTGTGGGTGCTGCTGGTGGCAGTGAGAACGGAGAGGGTGGTGTGGATGAGTGGTTAGAGCGGTGAGGTTGGAGCGGTGAGGTTAGAGTGGTGAGGTTAGAGCGGTGAGGTTAGAGTGGTGAGGTTAGAGCGGTGAGGTTAGAGTGGTGAGGTTAGAGTGGTGAGGTTAGAGTGGTGAGGTTAGAGCGGTGACAATTGTGAGAGTGTGGTGAGACAGAGCGGTGAGAGTGAGTGGTGAGTGTGAGCGGTGATGGTGGAGGATTGGGAGTGGCGAGGTGATGGGATGGAGTGAGAGGTGGGAGTGAGTGGTGGGATTCGGTGGTGAAAGTGAGTGGCGCAAGTAAGTGTGGCGCGTTAGGAATGAGAGTGGACATGAGTGTGTAGTGAGAGTGGGTGGTGAGAGAGAGGTTGAGTGTCACTGAGTGGTGGGCATGGCAAGGGGTACGACAGTGTACCGAGATGTGATAAAGGTAGTTGTGTGCATGCATGAGTATACCAAGCATGCATGTTTGCACTTGAGCATACCTGTGTGTATGTGTGCGCTGTGTGTGCATGCATTTGTGCACGTGTGAATATGGTTCGATTTGGGCTTCTGCATATGCTGCTGGCCAGCTGTATTGAGATTCTCACGAGTTATGCGATTATGCCATCTTCTGGTTCGAGTGGCTGTTTCCAAGCAAGGGTTCTGCTGGAACGTGCATACTGCATCCATTTTTCACCTGTGTGACCACACCGCTGCACGTTAAAACGTGTAGATGCACGGCAGTATTCGTGGCGTCCGAAACCCCATGGTTGGGTGAGTGGAAAGAAGGGGGACCTGAATTTCCCAGCCTAGGGTAAGTGCAGTGAGCGGCAATGGTGGGGGCCTGAATCCCCCAGGGTAAGTGCAGTGAGCGGCAATGGTGGGGGCCTGAATCCCCCAGGGTAAGTGCAGTGATGGGCAATGGTGGGGGCCTGAACCCCCCAGGGTAAGTGCAGTGAGCGGCATTGGTGGGGGCCCGAATCCCCCACGGTAAGTGCAGTCTGAAATTCCTTGAGTGGTGAAGTGAGGTGGAATGGGGCTGAAACCCCGTGGGTACAGTTTGGGATGATACACTCTGGTATGGTTCAGTTTGGTATGATTCCAGTGTAGTATGATACAGCGGTATCATACGGTGTGGTATGATACAGTGGGGTCTGATAACAGTACGGTATCATACAGTGGTTGTATGATACAAGTGGTGTGATACAGTGTGTTATCATACGGTTTGGTGTGATGCAGTATGGCATGATGCAGTGCGGTTGGATGCACAGAGGTGTGATTCAGTGTGGCTTGTTTCAGTGTGGCTTGTTACTGCGTGACATACTGTGGTGTTCCATTGTATGGCATGGTGTGGCATCTCATTTGGTGGCATGGCATGGTGGCATGTCATTTTGTGGCATGGCATGGTGTGGCCTGGCATGGTGTGGCATGATATCATGCCATATGCAGGCTGGCAACATCTGGAGGGCAGTGGAGCACGTTGGAAGGCAGGGAAGACAGTGTGGGAGGAAATAGAGGGGAAGTGGGGTCGGGGAGTGGAGGTGTGCCATGCGGCAAGCATGGCTGCCTAGCCTGCCATGCCCTTTCAATGCAATGCACGGAGGGAAGAGGAGGGAAGAGGGGTTGGTGTGGGGAGTGGAGGTGTGGCATGTGATGTGGCAAGCATGGTTGAGTGCGGAATGAAAATAGATGCCGTAATGCTCTATGTACAATTTTGTGAAATATAATTATGTATATGGAGTTGTTTTCTTTATGTTGTAGCGATACCCAAGGCTGCATTTTTTGAATTGTTTGGTTGGCAATAATTAAGGTAGGCTTTACCACTAGAAGCACGAGGAAGGGCACAGACGGACATGCTTCAAGCTGCTGTGCTGAAATGATGGTCCAATTCGATCCGTAGGGAATGTAGTTTTCATGGGAGAATTCACCGATTTCACTTTCGCTCAGAACCGTACCCAACCATTTTGTATACTTGAATGGACCACTTTGGAAAGCAAACCGCCAGTAAGCCACACAGCTTGTGGAACACACAGCTTTCACTGTATACCCCCGTTAATGACTACTTTGATGCTCTCTCTAAGCTGTTTTTCGTAGATTAAAGCCCAGCACCCGAATTACAAAGCCCATCACAAACTGGGCCCAGTTTGTGCACCCGCACCTGAGTTGTGAATGCACCCGCACCTGGATGGTTACCCGGTTTGCAGCTGGTGCTTTCGGGAGAACAAGGAAAGCCACCAGCCCATATATACGCAGGCAGAACTTGGGCCCAGTTTGCTTGTAATTCGGGAAGAGTGGACAGCCATTCCCCGTAGATTATTGCTTAGTCCACTCATCATGCTCGCTACCACCTGCATCCCTGGTGAGATACTCTCCTATAGCGCGTGCAACATAGTCGACCTATTATTGAGGCGTCCACCGTCAGATTCCGGGCATTTTTCAAACGAATTTGTACTGTCTTATTCGGCGCGAAACTAGGTACACTAGGGTTCAGACTGTGAATCTCGGATGCGATTCGTAATCCGCTCGCAGGTCACGCGCATATTATCCAACATCAGTCCCGCGCAGTCACAGGCACCGTCACTTCAGTAAACAGATGATGCAATTAGAAACTCGGGAACTTATCGCGGCTTCTTCCGCGAGCGCGGAAATGCGGTGTGGCATTGTGTTACTACAAAGCCATCGCATAACCGTCGCACCTCCCCGTCGCATTACCGAGCTAGGTCGCGTCCCCTACCGACGCCTTTCCACCACCGCACCTCCTCCCCCGCAGTTCCTCCCAGTCGCTATTTCCCCCCGCCACAATTCCTCTCCGTCGCAAATTTCCGCCGGCGCAAATCCTTTCCCGTCTCAACTCCGCCCCGTCGCATTTCCTCCCCGTCGCATTCTCTCCCTGTCGCATTTCCTCCCTGTCGCATTTCCTCCATGTCGCATATCCCTAACACACGCGCCGTCCCCCTCCGTTGCCCATGCTCACCCCCCTCTGTCGCCCACGCTCACTTCCCGATTGTCGCCGACGCGCACTCCCCTCCGTCACAGACGCGCATCCCCTCCGTTGCCCAGAGTCACTCCCCTTCATCGCCACGCTCACTCCCCTCCGTCCCACATGCTCGCCCATGCTCACCTTTGATTCCACACGTCCTCTCCCATCTCCGCCTCCCCAAATCTCCGCCTCATCCCAGCTCCGCCTCACCCCATCTCCGCCTCTCCCCATCTCCGCCTCTCCCTATCTCCGCCTCAACCCATCTCCGTCTCACCTCATCTCCCCCTCATCCCATCTCCCCCTCACCTCATCTCCGCCTTACCTCCTGTCTGCCTCATCCCTTCTCCCCCTCACCTCATCTCCGCCTCACCTCATCTCCCCCTCATCCCATCTCCCCCTCACCTCATCTCCGCCTCACCTCATCTCCCCCTCATCCCATCTCCCCCTCATCCCATCTCCCCCTCACCTCATCTCCGCCTCACCTCGTCTCCGCCTCACCTCACCCGTCGTTCATCTCTGCCTCATCCCTTCTCCCCGGACCTCATCTCCCCCTCATCCATCTCCCCCTCACCTCATCTCCGCCTCACCTCATCTCCGCCTCACCCCGTCTCCGCCTCACCTCATCTCCCCCTCATCCCATCTCCCCCGCATCCCTTCTCCCCCTCACCTCATCTCCGCCTCACCTCATCTCCGCCTCACCCCATCTCCCCCTCATCCCATCTCCCCCACAACTCATCTCCGCCTCACCTCATCTCCACCTCATCCCATCTCCTCCTCATCCCATATCTGCCTCCCTCTTCCAAACCCATGCTCTCCCCATCCCTCCTCTCCCATGCCTCCACTCCCCATCCATCCTGTCCCCATCCCTCCTCTCCCGACTCCTCCTCTCTCCTTGTGGTGCAACTCAAGACACACGAGCGCCTCCCTCATCTCTGCTCCCGTAGCCTCTACCCATCCCTCCTCTACCCATCCCTCCTCTACCCATCCCTCCTCTACCCATCCCTCCTCTACCCATCCCTCCTCTGCCCATCCCTCCTATACCCATCCCTCCTCTGCCCATCCCTCCGCTGACCCCACCCCTCCTCTCCCCATATCTCCTTTCCCCATCCCTCCTCTTCTGATCCCGCCGCTTCCCATCCCTCCTCTCCCAATTCCGCCACTCCCAATTCCTCCTCTCCCAATCCCTCCCATCCCACTTCGTCCGCCCCTCATCCATCCTGTCCCCGTCCGTCATCTCCCATCCCTCCTCACTGCATCTTTCTCACCCCTCCTCTCCCATGCCCCCACTCCCCTCCATGCTTTTCCTAACCCTCATCTCTCCATCTAGCCTGTCCCCATCCCTCCTCTCCCAATTCCTCCTCTCTCCGTCCCTCAGCTTCCGACTCCTCCGCTCCCCATCCCTCCGCTCCCCATCCCTCCGCTCCCCATCCCTCCGCTCCCCATCCCTCCACTCCCCATCCCTCCACTCCCCATCCCTCCACTCCCCATCCGCCTCATCCCATATCCGCCTCATCCCATATCCGCCTCACCCCATATGCGCCTCACCCCATATCCGCCTCACCCCATATCCGCCCCACCCCCTCGCATCCCACTCTCCCCCACTCTCCCCCACTCTCCCCCACTCTCCCCCACTCTCACCCACTCTCCCCCACTCTCCCCCACTCTTGCCCCTCTCTTCCCATTTGAGCACGGCGTTCCTTATGGTTTTCCCCAGCAAATGATGGAGCCCATTCCCTAATCCCCAAGCTACCTCCCTTCCCCTTCTCCCCTTCTCTCCTCTGTCCAGCCATGCAGTGGCATCACACTTCAACGGCCGCGTTCTCTTGTTACCACCTCTCCCCATCCCCTTTCCAGCCCATCCCCTTCTCTCCCCATCCCCACTTCTCCCCATCCCCTTCTCTCCCCATCCCCACTTCTCCCCATCCCCTTCTCTCCCCATCCCCTTTCCTCCCCATCCCCTTCTCTCCCCATCCCCACTTCTCCCCATCCCCTTTCCTCCCCATCCCCTTCTCTCCCCATCCCCACTTCTCCCCATCCCCTTTCCTCCCCATCCCCTTCTCTCCCTATCCCCACTTCTCCACATTCCCTTCTCTCCCCAGCCATTTCCAACCCCACCCACATCCCTTCAACGCCTTCCAAGTGTCACCCTACCACCCCTCCTCCCTACCTTTGTTGGCCCTCACTTCTCTTTGCCTATGCCTTTCCCCCCACCCCTCACTTATTCCCTCTGTGTAGTAACATCCCCCGTCATGGTTGACTTCTCCCGTGCCCCTGTGCTTATTTGCGCCTTGCACCTTCCCACTGGTTCCCGCCTTCTCAGGACCCCACACTCTCTTGCTGCTGAAAGCAATCGGGTCCTGTCCTCAGGGGCCAGGATCAAATCCCCTCATCTCCCTCACCCCTCCTCCGCCCGACCCCATGTCCACATCACCCCAGCTGTGCTGTGCCTCGCATTCCCAGCTGTACATGAAAGGCGACATGCTGCGTGCACCCTTTGATGCTGCGTGCCCATCGCCACTGCTTGCACCGTCACATTTCAACTGCGACGCATATGAGTAGAAGTTGGGGACACTCATCATTGGCCCATCGTACATTGGGTAGTATGCAAGGAGACCTTGTGACACATTTGCGTGCATTTTTTTTGCTCTGTTTCCATCCTGTGTCGTGGTACATGCATCAAACCTGGTGATGTTTACATCCCATCTCATCGAACAATGCAGTCTAATACTAGTTGGCAAATATAAACACAAACACGAGTTTGATGCCCATGCGTGCCAGGTCAGTAAGAAATACAAAAAGGAGGAGAGTGTGTGTGTAGGTGTGCTGATGTGCAAATCAGCCAATAAGATGCTTGGAGCCCGGAAGGACACGCCAAGTGTCCAAGGGGCCTGAAGCTGCTTCTCCCGTATATGTTGCAACACTACCTTGCCATGCCCATTGCCATTGATGCCTATCCGTGCCCGTGTTGCTGGCTCTCATGTCACCTGCGAGTCGCAGAAGGTAGGATGTGTAGTTCGGAAGGCACCCCACCTGCATCACAAGCAACGTGATGAAGGAATGCAATGTGGGGGATGTGGATGATAAGTATGAAACAAGTATGGGATGCAGTGGGAAGGTGGCTTTGACGGTGGAAGTCTGTGCGGAGGGGTATGCACCCCACCTGCAAGAGAATTTTGACGGTATGAAAACACGGGTGGGCTGTGATGGAAGAGGCCGCATGAACGTATGCGACATATTCAGGCAAGAAAACAAGGCATGAGTGGGTGAAAAGGGTGGCAATATTGGCTGTGCATCTGCAAGATATGGGGAAATGAGATGGGTGGGGGTGGTGATGGTAGGGGAGGAAAGGGAAGACAAGGCATGCTGATAGGGCAAGTCGGTGGAGGGTTACCTCCAAGACATTCGTGTATTGGCCTCGTGGCTGCTGGTTAGGGCCAATGGTACTACATCTGAAATTAGATGCAGATGAGGATGACGGCAAGGAAGGAATGGGAAGGCAAAGCATGCTGACAGTGCAGCTGAGAGCAGGGAAAGTGAGATCCTCGCAGGTTCAGATGAGGCATAGAGCATAACCTGGTGAGGCGCCTGCTACAAGACCCGGGTGCATTGGCCTTGTGGCTGCCGATTAGGGTCTTGTCGGGGCCAACCCCCCCTCAATCCCCCCTCTGCAGGTGCAATGTCGCCTCCTCTCCTACATTTGGGGTGGGTTTAGATTAGAGGTGCTATGCAATGTATCTGCCTAATGTATCCCACAAATGACTGTAGGCATGGAATTTTCAACAACAAGGCAATATCCAACTCACCGAGTATGCTGCGACGAGCTCCACGCCCTCTAGAACGGGTCGACGGATGTAATGGCCCAGTCACAATCAGGGTTACCGGTTGTAATACTCCAGAGCCGTCCCCACCTCCCGCTAGGGTCTCCGGCAAAGGTGAGGATGGAGCCGGTGGTGAAGCGTGCCCGCTCATATCTTGTTGTGCCCCTATTTCGGCTCCCTCGGCTAACCCTCCAACACTCTCAACTTCTTCCCCAAACGGGCGTCACCACTCCCTCAAGATGTCGTCGACCCAACTCCAGTCCATTGAACCAAGGACTCTATCTCTCCGCCCTCGTCTAACCCGCGTCGTCTGCCTGGCGCGCGTAACATACGCTCGCACAACACGATCCATCGTGTTATTCCAATGAAGAGCAGCCATAGCTATGCGCGGAGGATAGCTACGTGAAAAGCGAATGCGTTTCGGTGCGTATTTTAAAATCAGTGAGTGGAAAGACTCGTTCATGGAGTTAGTTGCGCCCTCCACTATACACGCAACCTTTGCTGGACTGAGTGATACACCGCCTCCGCCTCACCCCAGTTTTCTGTCACACATCTTGGCGCACACGTTCCACCCCTCCCGCATCGTGAGTGAAGGCCAGCAAAGTGGTCCGCTGCTAGACACAATTCTTCCGAAACATCTTCGGCCGACCGCGGGTGCCCCGCTCGAGCGCACACTCCGCAACGCATCATGCTATGGTAGAAGTGCACAGCAAGACGGTCAGTAACAGTGGACGCCTTCACCCTAGCCCCTATCTCACTCTCATTGGCCACCCCTCCAGCGGCCCCGTTTTGTGATCGCCTGCGTGGTGCGCGCCGTCCCCACCTCCTGTGGATCGGTTCGTTCCCGCCATTCTCCATGTCGTCGCCGTCGTCCTGCCTGTCTGCTGCTTCTTCGTTCCCGGCTGCGGTACCAGGCCTCGCCTCAGCCCCACTTTGCTCTTGACCGCCTATGTTGGGATTGGCAAGGGTACAACGTCGGAGGGTTGTAGTGTGGACGCACAATCCCTAATGGCTGTAGGGAGGAGGGAGGCTAAAGGCTTGAGGATGGAGGGATGGGGGGGACAGTGAGAAGAGAGCTTACTCCACCTTACATATTTACCTTGCCTGTCAGTGCCGTCGTCCTGCCTGTCTGCTTGTTCTTCATTCCCGGCTGCGCATGTACCAGGCCTCGCCTCAGCCCCACTTTGTTCTTGACCGCCTATGTTGGGATTGGCAAGGGTACAACGTCGGAGGTTTGTAGTGTGGAAGCACAATCTCTAATGGCTGTAGGGAAGAGGGAGGGTAAAGGCTTGAGGATGGAGGGATGGGTAATACAGTGAGAAGAGAGTTTACTCCACCTGGTGTATATACCTTGCCCGTCTGTGCCGTCGTCCTGCCTGTCTGCTTGTTCTTCGTTCCCGGCTGCAGTACCAGGCCTCGCCTCAGCCCCACTTTGTCCTTGATCGCCTATGTTGGATTACGGGTTGTAAAGGAAGAAGATGCACACTGATACTCCACATGACACTAGGCGTAGGTGGGTGACATAATGGAAATGCATAGCCCAGCAGAATGTAAAATTGATTGCAGTAGGAAAGGCTTGAGGATTGAGGCTAGAGGATGAAGGGATGGGGAGGGGAGCGAGATGAGAGCTTAATCTATGTGTATTTACCTTGACCATCAGTGTCGTCATTCAGGAAATGAGCACGCGGCCGGTCCCCCCCCCAAGCCTGCACGAGCACCAATGATGCAAGCGAAGATGGTCGAATACCATGTACCGGGTGCGCATCATAGCCCCACATCTCCTCCACCTCTGCCCACTGTACTTCGATTACGGTTGCTCCGTCATTTATAACAGCCGGTGTCCTCGCTGCACTGCCTCCTACCCCCCCGTGTACTCGAGATGCACGCACATGATCCGGCTGTGGTGCTTCTTCCACCTCAATGTCAACAGGTGCTGCAGTGCGATCCGGCTCCAGCACCACTTGCTGCAGCTCAGGGTGCAACCATTTTGCATCTACTACCTCCATATCCTTGAACAATAAGGAACGCAACTGACACACTGCCTTTACAAGTACCTTCTTTCCGCTACTCCTACCATACGTAGACCCACGTGGCGAGTGCACCCTCAACCATGACACTAAGTTGTCCACTTTAATTATATACAGGTCCTCACATGTACTAGCCTCATTCACAGAACCCGGCTTCCTCGTTGCATCCTGTACCTCCGATCTGAAACTACGCATCTCTGTCGCGCACTTATGCCACCAGTCTATCTGATGTCTCAACCCTCTAACACGTGCCTCATTCTTGAAGCTACTACCCTCATCCGTGACGATGCCGTTCACATGAAACCCCATATTCGCCAGCTCGTCCATCCCCTGCTTGAAACCTTCTCGCTCTAGAAGTACTGCTGCTCTCGCATCTCGAACTATCTTCGTGTTGCTAAGATGTGCGATTCTCCTAGTATCCCTATCCATGAACGACACGGTGCACCACTGTGCCTCCCGCACCTGTGACCACCGTCCATCGCAACAAAACCATCGAGCCGAAATTGGACGCAGCAACATGTTTGCACGCACGAGCTCCATGTTCCGCCTCGCCACCTCAATAATCACACTCCATAAACCATTTTCCCCGTCCATGCATCTATAGTATGTACCATGTCCTGGCCTGGGAACCCCAAGGTTACGACACACTTCCCACATTTGTTGATACCCTAATCCAGCAAGTGCAAATGACCCCACCATTTTTGCCATCAAAGGCGGACTTCGTGGACCACGTTTACTGGAAGGCAAGTCCGACCTTACCCGACTGGTCGACCAAAACTCCTCTTTTGAACAGCACACATTGCACAACCATAACATCCCCAAACACGCCCATGACCGTTTCCAGGATGCAAGTTGCATGTGACCCTCACAACCTGACTTGTCGCATCCAACCAAAGCCCGACCACAAAAGAACGAAACCATTGTTCTTGGATCTAGAAAACAAACCATGTCTGCAGGAAAGTCATCACTGCTCGTAGGTGTCGGCCATCCTCGTGGCCAACGACGCTTTCACGTCAGGTTGGTCCCCAATGGCCTGCTATATGGATGTGGAGGGTTTAGGACGTAGAGGAGATTGCACGAATGTGCATGTCCACACACACTGAAGAACCACCAAAGGAGGTTTAGATACGATATCATAATCGACATTACAAGTCAAAACAACAACGAACACAACATTATCGTACCTGAATGACTCCTCCGAGCGAACTGCTTGTGCAATATCGTGATGGGTTCCAGCCATAACGTCCTCATCCATGGCTCTCTCTACGGGCTGACCCCCCCTATCAGCCCCAGCAGCACACCCATCCTTGCTCGCTGCACCTGGTCCACCCATCCCCTGCCCGGCAGGACTAGTGTCGCCACCCCCCGCCTCCCCCAATCCAACGTGCCTAGGAGAAGATGGCTCGGTCATGTCTTGGACTACTTGAACCTCCTCCACTGTACGTGGAACATGATGGTTGGGAGTAGACATGATTTTACGAACATTGAATCGATGTATGACATCAAACTACTCATGGCATTGTACAATTGTTGTACCTGTGTCAAGTGGGGCGGCATGCCTCGCACGCTTGCGTGCTCCACCCCATCCATTCCCTTCCACTCTCCGAATGCCCCTTTTTTTACCAGCCTGCCAAGCTGGAAAGTGGTATTCCACCCCTGTCAACTGCCTATCAGGCCGCTCAAGCAACTCCTCCACCGTTAATGAGTCGCTCCCCATGCGAGTCCAAAATGGGTTCACCAAAGCCTTTAGATGCATCTCCACAACCTCTCCAGCATCTTTTCCACCTTGTCCTGTTCCACAAAAACACAAATCCTTATCACAAAGTGCTTTCTAATTCAGTAGCTCTAAACACGCTTGTAGCACCACGTGGGTTTTGAGGCGGCTTACCAGCATTGAATGCTGCACGGGTCAGGCGAGCTGTTACATGCGGTGCAGCCAGCATGTAGAGGGTTAGAAGATCACTGAGTGAGGCCTCTTTATCATCACACAACATCAACACATTTAGTCCAACACGCAGGTAGCAGATAGGCGCCCTGAGCTGCCAATGGACACTGTGCTTCCGCAAGTCAAACGTGCGACACACCTTGGACGCTGGATGGTTTGCCATTGCATCTGGTCGTGCCTTGGTTATGTGAAGAGTAGCGACAAAAGGAAAGAGAGAGACAGTGGCATGAGAAGAGATGAATTTGAGGGAAAGGTGGGGAGGGGATGGTGAGTACAGTGAAGGAAGCAAGGAAAGGAAGGACAAGAAAGCAAGAAAGTGAGAGGACACCACTGGACAGAGGGGGAAGCAAGAAAGTGAGCACGTGGGAAATGGGATGGGTGGAGGTGAGATGGGAGTATGTGGTATGGAGAGGGGAGGTGAGATGGGAGTATGTGGTATGGAGAGGGGAGGTGAGATGGGAGTATGTGGTATGGAGAGGGGAGGTGAGATGGGAGTTATGTGGCATGGGGAGGGGAGGTGAGATGGGAGTTATGTCGCATGGGGAGGGGAGGTGAGATGGGAGTTATGTGGCATGGGGTGGGGAGATGAGATGGGAGTTATGTGGCATGGGGTGGGGAGCTAGGCGTACGTTGTAGGGGGGGTGGAGGTGCCTAGGATGATGTGGGTGAGAAAGGGGAGCTGAGATGAAAGTAGGAGGTTTGGGGAGAGGAGGTGAAGGGCGGAGGGGCGTGATCAGGGGGGGAAATGGGAAGAGTGAAATGGGAAAGTTCAGTGTGGGCATGGTGAAAGAAAGTGAGGAGGGGAAATGGTATGAGGGCATGGTGAAAGAAAGTGAGGAGGGGAAATGGTATGAGGGCATGGTGAAAGAAAGTGAGGAGGGGAAATGGTATGAGGGCATGGTGAAAGAAAGTGAGGAGGGGAAATGGTATGAGGGCATGGTGAAAGAAAGTGAGGAGGGGAAATGGTATGAGGGCATGGTGAAAGAAAGTGAGGAGGGGAAATGGTATGAGGGCATGGTGAAAGAAAGTGAGGAGGGGAAATGGTATGAGGGCATGGTGAAAGAAAGTGAGGAGGGATAATGGTATGAGGGCAAGGTGAAAGAAAGTGAGGAGGGGAAATGGTATGAGGGCATGGTGAAAGAAAGTGAGGAGGGCAAATGGTATGAGGGCATGGTGAAAGAAAGTGAGGAGGGGGAAATGGTATGAGGGCATGGTGAAAGAAAGTGAGGAGGGTAAATGGTATGAGGGCATGGTGAAAGAAAGTGAGGAGGGGGAAATGGTATGAGGGCATGGTGAAAGAAAGTGAGGAGGGGGAAACGGTATGAGGGATTGGTGAAAGAAAGTGAGGAGGAAAAATGGTATGAGGGCAAGGTGAAAGAAAGTGAGGAGGGGTAAATGGTATGAGGGCATGGTGAAAAAAAGTGAGCAGGGGAAATGGGATCAGTGAATGGGGAAAGAGAGTGAGCAGGGAGGAAATGGGATTTGTGGTCGGGTGAAGGTAGTGGGATGAATGGTGAGAGTGACGGGGGAAAGGGAGTGAGCAGGCCAAAATGGGAAGTGACAAAGAGCAGAGAAAGTGAAGAGGAGATGGGATGAGTCATGGGCAAGGAGAGTGAGCAGAGTGGAAATGGGATGAGCAAATGGGGAAAGAAAAAGAGCAGGCCGGAAATGGGGTGAGTGAAGGGGGAAAGAAAGTCAGCGGGGGGGGAAATGGGATGAGGGAAAGGGCGGGGGGGGAGTGTGCATTTTGGAATGGTATGCAGGAAGGGGGAAAGAAAGGGAGGGGGGAAATGGAATAAGTGATGGGGGAAAGGCAGTGGAGAAATGGGATGAGTGAATGGGGAACGAGACAGATCAGGGGGGGGGATAGTGAAGGCGAAACCAGCGTTATTAAGGGGGGGCATGGGATGATTGGAGGGGGAGAGAGATAGAGAATGGGGGAGTGGGTGGCTGTAGTTGTGTTAGGATAGTAGACTGTCACCGTAGCTTTGTTGTATGTAGGTGTTGCCTTACCCTGTGTGTACCTTGGTGATATTAATACGACGGACCGTTCGAGAAGGGGGGGGATAATGAAGGCGACACCAGCGTGCTTAACCCTGGGCATGGGATGATTGGAGGGGGAGAGATTGCAGGCAGGGGGGAAATGGGATGAGCGGTGGAGAAAAGATCGAGAGCAAAAGGGAAGTGGGACAAGTGAAGGAGAAATGAGAGTGAGCAAGTGCGCAATGGGGTGCGTGCTGAAGGAATGAGAGTGAGCTGGGGGTTAATGGGATGAGGTAAATGGAGAAGGGAGTGAGCATGAAGAATTGGGATGAGGAAGAGGGGAAAGGGAGTGAGCTGAGATGGGAGTAGGTTGTAGGCCAGGGGAGGTGATATGGGAGCATGCTGTATGTGATAGGGAAAGGGGAGGTGAGATGGGAGCACCTCACACAAACATCCTTTGTGTCCTTCAAATCACCTTTTGCCCATGCCTTGTGAAATGACCTCCTGCCCCGTGACCTACTGCTTATCCCCTACAGAAAACGCTGCCATCCAAAATCCAGGCTAGGTGTTGAAGGGTGAAGCTGGAGGGGGAGGAGAGGGAAAGGGATAAGAGGATGGAGTGGAGATCCGAGGTGGAAACTGGGGGGTGGGGAACGAGGATGCCCACAGGGGGAATGAGATGAGAGTGAGCAGGGGAGAAATGAGATGAGTGTTCCATGAAAGAGAGTGAGCAGGGCCCGAAATGGGATGAGTGTAGGGTCAGAGAGGGAGTCAGCAGGGGGGAAATGGGATGAGTGAAGGGGGAATGAAAGTGAGCAGGGGGGGTGTGGGATGAGCGAAGGGGTTGAGAGTGTGGAGGGGGGACCTGGGATGGGCGACGGGGGAATGAGAGAGGGAGGATAGAAAATGAGAAGCGGGGAAATGGGGTGAGCAAAGGGGAAAAGCAAGTGAGTAGTGTGAAATGGGGGAAAGTGAGGGAGCAGGGGGGAAATGGGGTCAGCGGAGGGGAAAAGCAAGTGAGTAGAGTAAAATGGCTGGAATGAAGGGGGAAAGAGAGGGAGCAGGGGGGAAATAGGGCGAGTGAAGGGGGAAAGGCCGTGAGCGGGGGGGAAATGAGAAGGGGGAAGGGGGGAAAAAGGTGACCACGGAAAAAAGTGGAGTGTGAAATGGGGTGCGTGTTGGGGGACAGAAAGCGAGGGGGGGAAAGAGGGATGAGGTGAAGTGATGCTGCACACCCATGTGCCACCAGTGATGCTGCACACCCATGTGCAGCAACATCGTCCGCACCGCCTCCACAATGCTGCGCATCTCCCTCTCGGCCATCCCGTTCTGCTCCGGCGTGTACGGGCATGTGAGGTCATGGATGATGCCTTTACCGTCGAGGAAGAGCGTGAAGTCGTGCCCCAGGAACTCGCCACCCCGATCAGTGCGCAGCGCCTGCACCGTGGTCTTGCACTGTCGCTCTGCCATCGGGAGCCACTTCTGGAACGCCGCCAGCGCATCACTCTTCTGGGCCAAAGGGTAGGCCCAGACATATCGCGTCTTGCGATCCTTCAGCACCAAGAAGTAGCGGCTGCCGTCCTTAGCTGCTTCACGGAAAGGGCCACACAGGTCAGCATGCACCACCCCGAGCAACTCATCCTCCTCCTCTCCCACAGAAGGAAAGGTATGACGAGTGATCTTTCCCCCAACACAGGAGACACAAGGTATGCCTGACTTGCCCCCCTTCTCCAAATCCAAGCCCTTCACTGACCCGTGAGCCGCTGTGCGCTCGATGGCATCAATACCAACGTGTGCCATACGCGCATGCCACAGGTCCCCCTTAGACCGTACGCCCGTCGCCAAGGTACGAAGTGCCACCGTTTCGCCTTCCTGCTGCTGCGTCGAACACGGCTGGAAGTTCGTGCAGAGAACACGCCCCTTGAACTCCGCACGACCAAGGAGCGATCCATCTGGTGCCCGCAGCAAAGTCACATCCCCGGCATCCAGCAGCTGCACACCACTATCACGCAGCTGCCCAGCAGAGAGAAGACTCGCCTGCACTCCTGGTACGTACAGCACGTCCGGCACCAAGACACGCCTGCCCCCCTCCCCAAGAAGAGCGACTGTGCCTCGCCCCTGCACCTCCTGAAGGGCGCCGTTGAAGCCGGTAACCTGCTTAATGCTGCCGCCGCTGCTCATCTCCACAAAGGCAGAACGATCTCCCATGAGATGGTGGGAGCATCCGCTATCAAGCAGCACGACGCTCGGGTTCGCCTTCACAGCAGCTGCAACAGCCTGTAAGCCCTCCCCGGCCTCAGGCTCTAGCACAACGAGAGGAGTCTGCTCCACAACTGGCTTCACCATCGCACATGATGACTGCCCGCTCCCCTTAGAGCCATCACCCCCCTTTCCGCTGCTACCTCCAGAACCCTCTCCACCGGTGTCTGCCTCCTTATCCGCCCGCTGCTGACAGTACTTAGCAACATGCCCTATTTGTCCACACACATAGCACTTCCCCTTGAAGCCCCCTTTCCCCCCCTTCGGCTGGCCATCCTTACCCCCTTTCCACTTCTCCCCTCCCCCACCAAGCCCACCCCCATTCTTAGGCTGCTGCTGCTGTGCCGTAGTGGGAGGGAAGGGAATGAAGTCTGCTGGAATTGGGGCTTACCCTTCTTGGTAAAGACCTGGTTAGCCTGGGGAAGGAATTGGTCCTTTCGTCCCTCTGCCGCCAGCGTACACTCCTCCTCGATGATGTAGCTAGCGAGGGTGTCCTCGTCCAACTCCTTGCGCACCTGCGGCAACTTCAGCATCCTGCGTAAGAGGTTGTACTGCTGCGGCAACCCCTTCACAACGTGAGTGATGTACGACGCCTGCGAGTAATCTACGCCGGCCATCCTCAGGTTCACTAGGATCTGCTGCGCACGGTTGCAATAGGACGTAGCGGACCCGTGCTCTCCCATCTCGAGGTTAGTGAGCGCCTGCTCTAACTGACCGATGTACAGATCGTCCTTCGCCATGTACGTGCGCATAATAAACTGCCATGCCTGATAGCCGGCATCGACCTTCATGCGACATGCCTTAAGGGCGATCTGTACGGTTGGGGAGCAGCATCGGGAAATGGTGGTGAATGTCAGCAACTGCACGGAACTAAGAGAGATGCGCAAGCGCACGCGCTGGTGGAATGGGGGTGGTGCCATCTATGAATCGCTTTAGCTGAGCGATCTCAAGCTGCGGCTCGATTGATTCTGTCCACGTCGACAGGTCGTGACGTCCTTCTAACGGCCTAGTGACAACGATCTTGTCTGGAGTGAATCTGAAGTAGCCATAGTTGGGGGCTATTCCCTCGTCCCTCGACATCGATCCAATCGGGGTAACGCCCGGCATAGCCTCACTATCGAACTCTTCCGCAATTCCTCCTCCAGCAACGCTCCGCCGTCCTACATTCGCATGCTCTCGTGACGCTGCTGCACGATGAACACGCTCCTGTACACCGCCGACGCTAGCCGTACTAAACCGAGTTGGTCCTCGCAGGACCCCACGCGACATCAACCCATCAAACTCCTCGTCATCGCTATTTCCGCCATCGACAGCCATATCCCACGCACTAGTACCTCCCGCAACTTGCTCAACATTCTCTACACGTGGCGAAGGGTGCTCACGACGCCGACGCGAGCGCAATCCCTCCAACATTAGCTCGTATTCGATATCACTAATCTCACCACGAGAATGACGAGCCACGAGATCCTCCTCTAGGGCGCGCAAATTACCGGCCTCCACGTTCGCCTCCTCTGTACTCATCCTCTACGACGTCTCTATAAGGTACCACAAATTAAAATAAAGTGCCCCTTCCTTAAATCCCTCGTCTCGGGGTCACCTCACAAGGGTCCTCAGACGAGTGGTAATAAATTACCAAACGCCCTATCCTTGGGTCCGAGAACGTAACTGGAGGGAAATCAAGAGAGGTTCAACTTAGATTAATAAGCGCCCTTCACTAACGCCGCACGCCAAGGCGAGTATACGAACGCGAATATCAACGACGACGGAAATCTATGTGTGTTCGTTCCACGCTCACCGCACCATGAAGGAATATATTAGAGAGCGTAGCGATAGCGAGAGAGTCTCTGCTATGGGAATGATGTTGCACCAGCAACTTGGTAGAGTTTTGGTAGCGTTTGCCTCTAAGGACTTTGTGAGAATTGAAGTAGCATTTGGGCCAAGTAGAATTGCAATATCAACTATCAAACAACAAGCAAACACAAACATATATAGGCAAGCAAGAGTTGCACAATTGTTGCGTGGCGCTGCGAGTAACCCAACCCACACGAAAGTGCTGTGCAGGTGGGTGAACGCGCCCCGCACATTTCCAACCCAACTCGGCACCGGAATGTCTCACCGTGCACGCTACTCCTGCCAACACAGCAAGTGAGCAGCGTGCCTCACAAGCAAGGCACCTACGACCCCCAAGACTCGTCATTCCTAGCACCGATTCCGCCGAGTTCACTGCAGTAGCTCACAGTCACCCGTAGTCACTAATGACCGCCACCGAACTCGTGCGTCGGTGCCGAGTAGACTCAGTCGTTAGGCGCCGACCTGCCAAGTCAAAGGTCATCGAGGGCCCTTGCTGTCGTAGGGCCCTCTAACATGAGGGAAAAGTGGAAAGGAGGTGAGCAGGTGGTGAATTGGATGAGTGAAAGGGGAAGGAAGGCGACGTGAACGGGGAGTGCGGGACACGGGCGATGGGGAGGGGGGATGTAGGAAAGCGATGGGGACCCGGATGTGCTGACGCCGGGGAAGGGAAGGGGCGAGACGAGAAGGGTCCGATGGGTGAGGGGAGATAAGAAAGTTGGGACAGGGTAGAAAGGCCAGAAGGAGGAAGAGCAAGGCGAAATTCGTCAGAGCATGTTCAAGAGGACTCCCTGCTCACAACCCCACCCACCATCCTTCCGCAACGCGGGCTTTCATTCCTAGGATCTAAGCCCACTCACATTCGACTTATCCGTCCATTGTCGCGTATTGTAATTCAGTGCGATCCCTCGTGCTTTGGGACATGTTTATGGTAACGCCAAGGGGTCCCAGTGGCTGGGAGTGGGAGAAGCAAGAGCGATAGGGAAGGGTAAGTAGGTGACGGGAACAGGAAGAGAGGGAGATGTGGGTTTTGGGCCGTGGAGGCGAGGGCGAGAGAAAGGGGATGTACGGTTGACGGGAAGGGGCATAGGGGCTGACGGGAGAGCGCATAGCTGCTGACGGGAAGGCGCATTGCGGATGACGGGAAAGAGCATAGCGGCTGACGGGAAAGCGCAATGTGGCTGACGGGAGGGCGCATAGCAGCTGACGGGAAAGCGCATAATAGCTGACGGGAAAGCGCATAACAGCTGACGGGAAAGCGCATAGCGGCTGACGGGAAAGCGCATAGCGGCTGACGGGAAAGCGCATAACGGCTGACGGGTGAGGGCATTGCGGCCTCCGGGCAGGCGCATAGCGGCTGACGGAAAGGGGAAATGCCGTCGGCCAGTTGTCGCAATGATGGTGCAGGGAAGGCGAAATGGTGGCGTCGGGAATGGGTAATGTAACGATGAGGGGACATGCGCGCGTCGCGGATGTGAAATGGTCCCGCTGCGAAGGAAAAGGCTCGCGCCGGGATGGGGAAATCTGTTTCCCGGGAAGGGGAAATGCGCTCGACGAGTTTGGGAAATGCGAGCGCCGGGTAGGGGAAACGCGCGCGACGAAATTAGGAAATGCAGGCGGCGGGGTTTGAAAATGCAGGCGACGGGGTTTGGAAATGCGGGCGACGGTTAGGAGAGTGGCGGGCGACGGTAAAGGGAATTGTAATGAGACGGGAAGGGCCATTGCCGGGATTGTACCTAAAATGCCCCCGTTTTCCCTATCGCATTTACATTTCCTGCTTACCGTCCCCCCGTCCGACTCAATCTGCTCTCTTCATTCTCCGTGCCCAAGGTAAGCATTTACACCATCTGTTCCTGTCGTGGTGCTCTTTGAGGTCTAAGAACCTAATTACTAGAGTCTAGTTATGTGGTGCGCTGGTGGTGGAGGTTTGTCGAGGTGGTTTCTCCCAAATACGTTGCTGTCAGGTTGGGTTGCGTTCGTTTGCCTGGTAGCGACACAAGGTTGTCGGACTGTGTTTTCGCCAACAACGAGCTTTCGCGATTCATCCGAACCTCAGTTTGCCTCACCCACAAACCAGAAAATCCAAGCGTTGACTTTGTTTGAGTAATTCGGGTGTCGCCCTTATCCTGGCTCAGGGATTATGGTATGCAACGAGATTCACCTGGCAACAGCTTGCCAACAGCATCTGTCTGTCAGATGCCACGCAATTGTTGGCGCGAATGTGTTGTCACCAGCATGGCTTATGCATTTCAATCCACTGACATCCCAAGGTGATGTTTGGTCTCGCGCCTCGCATGCAACCAGCCCAGGCACGAGCTTTAGGCACGAGCTTCAGACCAGCCTTGTCTTTCCCACTCCACTGTGGTTTAGAAGACGTACCACGAAAGGAGGCGACGCTTCGTGTTTTGATGGTAGTTTCTCACCATAGTCTGACGAGTCGTTAGTTTCGGAAGCACGAGCTCGCGGGGTTTTTGTCCCTAAATTAGGGAAGCATTCGCGAGCCGTTGGCAAGAACTGAGGCTTGGGTGTTCGAATTCTATGCGTTGCTCCTCCGGTCGTCACGCGCGGAACGGGTCGTGCGCGCGGGACTGGCGGCGGAATTCCGACGAGCTTGGAGTCCCGCGCTAGGGAGTTGCTTCCCTAACCACCAGCCTTTGTGAATCGCTTCGCACCATTCTCAATCGTTCGTAATCTTCCAGATTGCTCCACTGAGTGCTTCTTTCTGAGCCAACACCTTCGGAATCCTGATTTTCTCTCTCAAGCTTCGGCCACACGGCGTTTCAATGGTGCATGGTAAGTCTTTTCCGCCATTCCCTTGTTCCCCCTAGCCAACCCCCTCTCTCTCTTCTCCTGTCTACGTCATCGATGCATCTCTCACGTCGTCCCCTCCTCTTCTGCCTCTCATCTTACAGCGCAGCATGGGAGCTGCAGCGGCAGGAGCCCTCTTCCCGTGGTTCCTCATCCCTTCCCCACCCCTGTCTGCGGATGCTTTTTCTCTCAGATCTTCTTTTTTATGTCGTATCTTATGGTAGCAGTGCCCAAATGTGTCGAGATGGCCGAGTTGGTCTAAGGCGCTGGATTAAGGTTCCAGTCCGAAAGGGCGTGGGTTCATATCCCACACTCGACAGCTGTTTTGCCCTATAGCCAACAAGCAAGGGCGATATTTCTGAGCCGTCTTCGGGGTACGTCCCTCCTCTCTTTGCCGCCCCATCTGCACTCTGCTTCTTTCACTCTATTACCTTCGTTTCCTCCATGCCACCTGCTCTCTTCTCATATCCTCCTCCCTCCCTGCGTTTCCTCCTTCACGCAAGGGCAGTAGTGGTGGCATGGGACGGACTTCAGGCAAGGCCTCTGGATTGCATTGTCCTCTTCTCCTGGTAAGGCTGCTCACCCAACCCTCTTTCCTCTTCCTCAAGGTCCTGGTTTTCCTCCCCTTTTCTCCTATTTGCTCCCCTTCTCGCCTCACATGCCTTTAACCAGGCTTTATCCAACTTTTCACCTCTCCTCCTCTCGTTTGTTTTCACATGCTGTTCCTCTCGTGTTTCCTCCTTCAGATGTGATGAAATTCAGTGGGCTGAGAAACGGGTTGGCAGCAAGGGTGCACGAGAATAGCTCATGAGTTGAGCTTTTCTTTTCTTGGTAAGTTTCTACAACCTATCTTTACTGTCCTGCATCACACTCGCTGGACAAACTCTCTTCTGCATCCACCCAATACCTTTCGATCCAGCCCAAGCACACAACATCCTCGTGTGACTTGCCTCCTCTCGTCTGCTTGCAGGACAACCGGAGCAGTTCCACATGGAAGCTACATAGGCTAGAGTGGAAGTACCGTAGGTTGAGTAGGATATAGGATATTTAGACTAGTTACACTCTCAGGCATGGTATCTCCCCTCCCTCCTCCTCCCCCCGCATAGGACTCCCCCCACACCCCCCTCCCCCTGCCCCTTACCCCACGCCCTTCGTTACCCCTCCCCCTTTCTCCTCCTGCGGCCCACCTCCCCACGTGACCCACCCACCTCAGCAACATCCTGCATAGGGCACGCACAGGCTAACCACAGGGATTGTGCCTTGGGGCATGCTAACCACAGGGCTTGTCCCTCTAGCCATGCTTATTTCAGGATGCATACCGGTACGCATTGGGAACACCTGTACAGAACTTGTGCATCAGATTACTAGCTACAAGGCTCGTGCATCAGAGCATGAACTACAAGGCTTGCGCATCACAATGTTTATACGTAACATGTTGTACACTCCTCATTACTTCTGCCATATACCGTACTTGTGGAAACAAGTAATCCTAAGCAACCAATCATAGGCTGCTAACGCTTCTGATGGAACAAACAGCTAAGCCTTCAATGTTCAGTCACCTACGTGACCTCAAACGCTTGGTACTTGGGCGAACCACCTCTTCCTCCTCATCCTCCTCTTCCTTTTCTTCATCACCTGTCTCCTCTTCTTCCTCCTCACTCTCATCCCATTCCTTTGCTTTACCCTTCCTCTTCCCTCTACCGCCACCCCTACCTGCTCCACCCCCACTCCTCCCTCCACCTCTCCCCTTTCCCTTCCCCTTGTTCCCCTTTTCCGCCCCATCCTTTTCCCCACTGTCTGACCCTCCACCCTTTGCCTGCAATTCCACCAACCCCCCCTCCTCTCTATCCACCGTCGTACAAGCAGCAAGCACTGGCTGTCCACTCTGCATGCGGCGTCCCTTCACCGTCCCCGCATATGCCTCTTGTGCCCGAATCACCACTCCCTTCCCTCGTCCCCACCCTCCCTTCCCGCCCGCACTCTTCCCCACCCTAGCAGCAACAGCCAGAGCAGCAGACTCCACAAGTGCTGCCATCAACGCCTCATCTTCCTCCTCCTCCCCAGCTTTTCCCTTCCCCTTCCCCCTCCCCTTCCCCTTCCCACTTCCCTTTGCATTCCCCTGAGTCTTCTCATTCCCCAGGGCATGCCCCTTCCCTCTGCCTTTGCCCCATATATCAGCATTAAACATGCGAATCGTGCCTCTGTTGCCAAACGAAGAAGACGCTGCTTGCTGCTGCCCTGCTCTCCCCGTGCCCCCATATCCTTGCTGAGATGCTTCCCCGGTTGCCTCCCCTTCGCCCTCCTCCGCATCTTCAGGTACTGTCCACAGGTAGATAGATCTGGAGCAGCAATGGTGTGCATGGTGGGTGTGTGCACGAACGAAGGCACAAACACGGACACAAACAAAGAGAAAGGCAGGTTAAGAAAAGAAAGAGGCATGGTTGATGCACAGAGGAAGGCACGCATCCAACGCAGAGCCACATCATAACATCCTCAGTCCCTGTTGTGTCTTCCCCACCCTCTGTTCCCGACCTCCTCAACACTCCACCTTCCTTCCGCTCGCCGTTCCCCATTTCTTCTGCTCCCTTCCCCTTCTATCTCCCCCTTCCCCTCCGCTTCCTCACCTGGAGCTGCCCGTAGCGAGGTCACAGCGGGGGTGCAGCAGGTTGACAAGCCTTTGAGCCTCCTCGAACCCCCCTTTCATTCTCCTCACCCCCACACCCCTCCCTTTCTCCCCCTCCTCACCTGGAGCTGCCGGTAGCGAGGAGGTCGCAGCGGGGGTGTGGCAGGTTGACGGGCGAGATGGTGGTGAGGTGGGGATCCACGGCCGAGCCCAGCAGAGCACCCGAGGAGGCGTCCAGGAAGTCAATGGGGTGCAACGCCACTCCATTGTAGTCGTCGCTTATGTACCGCCCACACACCACCACGCGCTCTGCATCGTCCTGTGGTAAGGACAGGGGAACGATGTGGCAGGGAAGGGAACAGTGGATGAGGGAATGAGGGGGAGGGAATGCGGGAAGGAGGGAGGAGAGGGGCAGAGGTGGAGAGAACGGTGAACGGGACGAAGCACAGAACAGAACAAGCAGAAACGGACAGAGAGAAACGGGCGGACAACGAGAGCAAAGAGCGCATAAGCAAGTGTCTATGAAACTGATAGATGCACGGACCTTGGGGTCCCAGTGGGCCTTGAAGGGCGAGAGGTAGCGGTTGAAGTCGTGGGAGTGCACGATGGTGGTGCTGGGCTGCTTCAAGTCGCAGAACACACTGTCCCACACCCGCAACCTGTTGTCCTGACACGTGCTCAGGATCCGAGTTCCTGTGATCTGATACATTCGTATATAACACATTCCCACGGCATGGCACGAGCATTCAGAGGGTGAGCAGACAAATCAAGAAAGGTAATGTATTAGATGAGATTTGTGGATGTCACAGTCAGTGACAGTCAGAAACAGTTACACAGTTTGGCGCTTGAGCAGACTCACAGGAGAGAAGTAAGCACTGTTGACCACACGTGGGTGCTGCATGGAGGCAATGCGGTGCTGTGGAGACAGCTGTCTCACATCCCATAGATGCATCTGGTGGGGGCAATCACAAGCGCACGGGTTGGCGTGAGAACGAGGGTTGTGTTAGGCCGCTGCATCACTAAAATCCTGAAGCAACAACAGCGGCAGTAGGAGCAGGATACCCAGTAGCAGCATGATCTGCTCTGCAGCAGCAGCAGCGCCGTACCCAGTGGTCGGAGCCAGCAGAGAGCAGCAGGTGCGGGTCAGCGGGATTGAGATGCAGCGACACCACCTTGGTGCGCGTTGCATGGCACCCCGCCACACCCGCTGCTACCCGCTCCTCCACCCGCTCGTCCAGCCTGGTGGCGGGGCAGGCGGGAGGGGGGGGGGAGGAGGGGAGAGTGTGGATGGGTTGGTGGAAGCGTGGCGAGAGGTCACCCCGCCACGCACGCTCCCACTCGCTCCTCCACCCACCCGCTCGTCCAACCTGGTGGCGGGACAGGTGGGAAGGCGGATAAGGGGGGAAGAAAAGGATCGAATAGGGAGGGCAGAGGGCAGGAGGGAAAACAGAGGGGGGGCGGAGGGAGACAGTTAGGCAGAGGATGAATGGGGAACGAGGAGCATGGCGAGAGGGCAACGTGCAATGGGCATGGGCGAGGGGCAGGAATGCAGGATCAGAATAACTCTTGGCTATATAACCGTGCTCTGTCACCCAACCCAAGCGCGTGTGCACTCACAGATGTATGCAGCCAAAGTTGTCCCCAGCCACCACCACAGCGGCACCGTCACGTGCAGGTGCGTCCATGGCATAGAAATTCCCCCACGAGCGTAAATGTTCAGATCAGAAAATCTTTCAGTCAACCCAACCCAACACCCGAAGTGAATCCAATCCATGCGCACTTACAAGTGAATGCACCCGAAGTTATCCCCAGCGACCACCAGAGCACCGCCGTCACGTGCAGGGGCGTCCATGGCATAGAAGCTCCCCCAGGTGCGCTCGTCGCCCTGCCAGCCCAGCGGGTTGAGATTCGCCAGCACGGTGGCCTGGCCTGTTTCTATGTCCACCCGGCACACCTTGCCGTCCAGTGACGAGGATAGCACCACCTCATCACACGTTGGGCGGTGCCTGACAGGGGGAGGGGATGTTAGAGAAGAGGGAATTGAAAGAAGGGAAGGCGGGGGGGTGAACGTTCTGCAAGCGGGAGGGAGGTGGAGATGGAAGGGAAGTAGGGGAGCGGAGCAACGGATTTGTGGGAGTGAAAGCAAGAAGAAAGGTGACAGAGGATGACAGGGATGAGCAAACGTGGGTGTCAGGGTTGTGAAGTGTGTGGGGAAAGATGTGTGAGCAGAAGTGTAGGGAGCATCCCATCCCACCTGAGAGCGCTGATCTGGTACTGGTGCGCGCTCTGATGCACTGTTGTGTCCCTCTCCCTCTCGTAGTTCCACAGCCCTATGTGCCCCCTCTGCTCCCCCCCACGCCCACACACAGACATAGAGCGTTGGCAGACGAGCATCGGCAGCAAAGCAGAGGAGGAGGAAGAGCCCGAGGAGATGGTTGGTGTGTGTGCCGAGGTTGAGTCAGTGAAAGCAAAGGAAGAGATGGACGAGCGGCGCGAGGAGGAAGGGCGAGGAGGAGAGGCGGAACGGGAAAGGGAAGGCAGAACGGGTAGAGTCTAGAGGGCTTCTAGAGGGCTTTAAAGTAAGCTCTCGTCTCTCGTTCCTCGTCTCTCGTCCCTCTCCTCTCAGCACGCACCTTATCCCTGGACAGCACGCACCTTGTCTCCGGACAGCAGCACGTCGTCCCGGACAGCATGGAACTCCAGCACTGTGATGCGCCTCATGTGCAGCGCTATCACCGCCGCCTCCACCACACTCGGCAGCACCCTCCTGTGCCGCGCCACCTGTGGGTGGGCGAGGGGAGGGGGAGTGGGGCGGAAGGCGAGGGGTGAGAGGAGAGGGACAGAGGGTAAGAGGAGAAGCAACGCTGTTCAACGAACGGGAGAATGCGGGCTGAGGAGGATGATGCCGAGACCAGTATGAGAGCTCACCCGTGGCAGCATGCCCGTAATCTGGCGCTGCTGCACGGTGTGTAGCACCCCCTCGTGTGTGCGCCCGCCCTGCACTGCCACACTGCCTCCATCTGCTCCCACACGGTGCGGACACGTGGCCGTCGTGTGCCCTGCACCAGGTTTGGAAAGGGTTTGGATACGCTTGAATTGGATGGAAAGAAGAGGGGATGGAATGATGCCATCCGATGAGAAAGGTCGTGTTTTGAGTCGACTCAAAACACGAATCAGGTGGGGCAAGACGGAGAGAGGAAGGGGGCGTGAGGGAGCACCTGGCAGCTTGCAGAGGAAGCAGGGGCGGTTGGGACAGTCAACGTAGACAGAGCCAACGAAACCAGCCTCGTGGCCCTTGCTGCCACACACCTGCCATCATGGCCTCCGCCCGACAACGACCGCAGTAGCAGGAGCAGCAGAGCAGGATCAGGAAAATAGAAAAGAATTCATGAGATGAGATGAAGCACGAAAGGACAGGAATAGGGAGCTGTGGCATGAAGGAGCGATGACAAGGGCAAGGGCCAGGGCAAGCCATGCGCACATTCACCAGAACAGTCAAACGTGCACTTGGGTAGCAAAAGGGGGCGCTTAATCACCTCCATTTCTACCCTTCACGCACTCTCCACGCACTCTCCACGCACTCTCCACGCACTCTCCACGTACCCTCCACGTACCCTGCACACGCCAGAAGCCTTGCTCTTGAGATTCAGCTTGATCCGCGACGATTTCCCTTTCCTGCCCCCCCCTCCTTCCGCCTCCTCCGCTTCTTCCCCCGCCATGCCATGCGCCGACGCCCCTTCCGCCGCACCCCCGCCGCCTCTGCTGCGACCGCCACGTCGTTCCGCCTTCCCCGGAACCGCATCTTCCTCCTCGTCGTCGCCCTCCTCCTCCTCATCCTCAGATTCGTCGGACCTACTACCGCCACGAGCGCGGCCGTTAGTTCCTTCCTTTGAACGAACCCCGTTCGACGCCGAACGTGGCACCTCGACATATTCCTCCTCCTCTTCCTCTTCCTCCTCCGACGTGCTCTGCTGCTCCTCATCCTCCTCCCTCTCTATCACCACCTGCCGGATCTGGCGGCGCGTGCGACGCATGGCGTGTGAGGGAACGAAAGCTAACGCGGGGGAGGCAGAACGAAAGGCGAACAGTCAGTCAATGCGGCGCGGCCACGAGAAGCGCGCAAAGCACGAAACTAGGATATTCTTTCGGTGGTGATGTTGCGACGGCCTCGGGTTTCTGTAATTCCTCCAGTCAAGTCGTCTTGTGTACGCTACTTCGCTCCAAACAAAGGCTTTCGCAAAATATGGTAACCGGAGTTTGTCCTGGAATTTTGCCTCGCCAAGGCAACCCATCAACAAGTGGAGCAGCGTGGCGTTCCTACAGTGGGCCACGCACGTTGTGGAATCGGCATGTGGATGTCAGATTTGAGCTTCCCGCTCAAATCTACGACAAAGCATATTGAGTTGAGGGCGGGTCCAGCGCGTACGTAAAGGATCAGTGGTGTTGCAGAAACATGAAATTTTTAGGAGGTGACTGACATCCTGTATAACCTACAGATATATTCTAGGGCACATGACCCCTGATCTGCTAGCCTAACCATCATAATGACAGCCATTGTGAAAGCTTGCTTAGTCCATCTTGCAAAGGCAGCGTGCTTCATTCCAAGTGGGTTTACAACGTTCTCGTACATCCATGATACACAATGGGGTGGGTGGTGGGAAAGTAAAACTAGAAAATTGGAAATGAAGAACGTGGGTGGAGCTACTGAACTCACGTTCCTCTTTTGTAGGCAAAAGAGGGGTGAGTAGCGTCGCACCGCTACCTTTGCGTTGCTGGCCACGTCCTCGCTTTCACAATACGAAATTTTAAAAAGTGTTACACTTTAAAAAATTATAATATTGTGAAAGCTTGCTTAGTCCATCTTGCAAAGGCAGCGTGCTTCATTCCAAGTGGGTCTTCTGAGGCAGGTGCATGTTGGGTCGGCAGTGCCTCTCCAACGATCGCTGGTGCCTGACGGGCGATGGGGCTGCTGAGGAGTCCTGCAGCTGGGTGGAGAGGTCGATGAGTTGGTCTTGGGCGATGGTGACGTATAGGTCCTTCGCGCCGTCGCTTCGCCATCGCCCCATCCGTTTGAAGAGCCGGTCGGGGATTCCTAAAGCTGCGGCTGCTGTTGCCGCGCCCTTGCGGAATGAGTGGGTTCCGATGTGCGTGGCGTCGAGCCCTGCCTTCTTGCAAGCCTCGAGGCACCAGCTTCGGATGGTTGGATATGAAGGCGATTTGTCGTGCGGCGAGGCTTGTGCCCTTTTGTTGAAAACCCGGATCAGTGGCCCGTGTGGCATGTCTGCAAGGCCTGCGATGCGAATGAACTCCCGAGTGCATCTCACTGCGCAGTAGGGCCCTGCCGACGCTGCGACTGGGATCCACGTGCCCTTGCCTTCTTGGTCCGTCTTGGAGTATGGGATCAGTAGCCACATGGCCGCCTCTTCGAACTGAATGTCGTTCCATTGGAGGGAGATCAGGTCGGAGTAGCGCAGGAATGCTGCGAACATCAAGAGAGGTATCAAGCCTTTCTGATATTCTGCCGGCACTGTTGATTCCAAGTAGGGTCGTGCCATGTTCTGCACTTGATGGAGTGACACAGGTTCCTTGGTTCTTGTCGGGCGGAGGCCATGCCGCTTAGCAAACTCTCGTACTTGCAGCGTGAACGGGCCGTTCGTTGGGGATGCCTCGCCGGTCATCCGATGGGCGAAGGCCACGGCGGAGCATGTGAGGTTGACCGCTGATATCGTTGCCTTGTTGTTCAGCGCGTGGACTAGATAGAGTGTCAGCGTGAGGTCCGTCGCTGGCAGGAATGCTAACTTGACTCGAGTGCAGAAGTTGCGAAATTTGAGCCAGTAGGGCTGGTATGTCTCGATCGTGGACGGTGCGCGAACATCATTTATAACTTGCAACAGCTGGTTTTGAAGCTTGGTCAACAATCCTGAAAGATGTAACATTCGAATATTAGTTACGTATTATATTTTACATGCAGGGCAATGATTGGGCTATGTGGTAGGCCGAGTCCGGAAAATGCTGTTGCGTGCGAGCCGGGTCGGAGACACTAGCTTCCTTGAGCGAGGGGCAAGCATGCGACCACCTCTGGGGCCCATGTGTTTAGGGAGGGTTGTAGCAACGGCCACCATGCTGCTCCCGGCCACTTGGGGACGACGAGTGTCAACTCGGCTTGTGTGCGCCTGGCGTGAGCGAGTGTGGCCGGGATCAAGCCGGGGGGCGGAAAGCTGAAGCAGCGCTCGCCTTTCCACGAGATCGAGAAAGCATCAATTGCTGTGGCACTTGGGTGTGGTATCTTGGAGCAAAATCGTTGCAGCTTCTTGTTGTTGATGTTTGCGAAAAGGTCGATCGTGTGGGGACCCCATCGACGTTCCAGCAAAAGAAACCATGGCATGTGCAGCGAGTAGTCGTCATGGTCTTGGATTTTAGACAATTCGTCCGCGTGGGCATTTAACTCCCTTGGGATCCATTCGATCGCCAGGCGTGTATGGTTCTTGAGGCAGAACTTGTCAGAACATTATAGCTCATGCATATTGTGTAGGCTATAGTGGGGTAGCCCATAAGGGGTACTACCCAATTTGGGTTAGTACTTGTACCCAATTCATTCATAGTTCATTCATTCCTTGTTTCTTCTCATGGTATCGAGCAGGTTCCCTAGTGGGAACGCTTCCTAGGGCCCACCACGAATTTTTTTTTTTCCTGCCCGGAGCGCGCTTTACTCCCACAGTCGCGCCCTCTCACGACCCCTCACGGCCCCTCGCGTCGCCCTTAGCGGCCCCTTACGGCCCCTCGCGCCGTCCCTTACGGCCCCTAGCGCGGCCCCTTACGGCCCCTTACGGCCCCTAGCGCGGCCCGTCGGCCCCTTACGGCCCCTTACGGCTCCTAGCGCGGCCCCTCGTGCCGCCCGTCGGCCCCTTACGGCCCCTTACGCCCCCTCGCGCGGCCCCTTACGGCCCCTTACGGCCCCTTACGGCCCCTCGCGCCGCCCGTCGGCCCCTTACGGCCCCTTACGGCCCCTTACGGCCCCTCGCGCCGCCCGTCGGCCCCTCGCACCGCCCTCAGCGGCCCCTTACGGCCCCTTACGGCCCCTCGCGCCGTCCCTTACGGCCCCTCCCGCGGCCCCTCACGCCCCCCCCCCCCCCCTACGGCCCGTCGCCGCCCTCCGCGGCCCCTCGCGCCGCCCCTTCACGGCCCGTCGCCGCCCTCCGCGGCTCCTCGCGACACGACCCCTCGCACCGCCCTCTCCGGCCCACTGTCGCCGCCCCTACCGCAGCGGCCGCCGCCGTCCCTGCAGCAGCGGCCGCAGCCGTCGCCAGCAGCAGCCGCCACCACCTCCCTCGGGGCCGCGGCTGCTGCCGCAGCTGACTGCACCCGCCGACGCCGCTCCACTCGGCCCCGCCGCCGCTCCCCACGCGGCCTCGCCGCGCCACCTGAGCCGCCCGGGCCTGCCGAGCCGCCGTACCGCCCGAGCCGCCCGAGCCGCCGTGTCGCCGAGCCGCGCTTGCTGCCGAGCCGCCGTACCGCCGAGCCGCCCGAGCCGCCCGAGCCGCCGAGTTGCCGAGCCGCCGAGCAGCTGAGCCACCCAAGTCGCCCTGTCCGGTAAGTGCAGCGCCTCTGTCCCTGCACTGCCCTCACCCTACTGTTTGCGCTGCTAGTCTACTGCTGTCATGGCTACCCCTAGTGTCCTCGCCTTTGACGCTGAGGGTCGGGCCATTGACTTTGACGTCTGGGTAGATGACCTGCAGCTTTTCCTACAGTGCGATAGGGCAGACGGTCTCTCCCTCTTTGACCTCACCTCTGGTGCCTCTCCTGCCCCTGCTGCTGATGCCGACGCCACTGTTCGCTCACAGTGGGCCACTCGCGATGCTGCTGCACGTCTTGCTGTGCGTCGCCACCTGCCTACCTCTGAGCGTGCGCACTTTAGCCAGTACAAGAGTGCTCAGACCTTGTACGACGTTGTAGTTGCGCGCTACTCCTCCCCTGCCACTGCTGCACTGAGCCGCCTCATGCTACCGTACCTCTTACCTGACCTTGCTGCCTTTCCCACAGTCGCTGACCTCATTACGCACCTCCGTACTAGTGACACTCGCTACCGCGCTGCGCTTCCTGCTGAGTTCTGCGCCAAGAACCCCCCCCCCCATGTACATCACCCTCTACTACATAGTCACCCGGCTCCCTGACTCCCTTCGCGTAGTCAGGGACCACTTCCTCTCCGTTTGCCCCACCACTCTCACCGTTGACCTCCTCGAGCAGTCCCTCCTAGCAGCAGAGAAGAGCATAGTCGCTGTAGGAGCCTCTCGTGGTGACCCTCGCACCCCCATCTTTGAGGGGTGTTCCCCCTCCCCCCTTTTGCCCTCTGTTGCCTCTGCTGCTGCGGCCGACCTCGTTGGGCTTGAGTCGGTCGGTGCGGCGTCTACCCCTAGCGGGAGACGTCGCCCTGGCAAGGGCAAGGGGGGCAGGGGCACTGGAGGAGCTAGCGGGGGCGGTGGCGGTGGAGGCGGTGGAGGGGGTGGGGGTGGTGGTGGGAGTGGTGGCGGGGGCGGAGGTGTCGGTGGCGGTAGTGGAGGCGGAGGCGGCGGTGGCGGTAGTGGAGGCGGAGGCGGCGGTGGCGGTGGCGGTGGGAGCGGAGGTGGCGGCGGTGGAGGAGGAGGCGGCGGAGGAGGTGGAGCTGGTCGGGGTGGCGCTGCACAGAGGGGCGGCTCCGGTGGTGGTCAGCGCCAGCAGCAGCAGCAGCAGCAGCGCACTCGTGACATCCCCTCCCCTCAGCAGCTCCGTGAGTGGTACACTGCACGCCAGAGGGGTGGGGGTACTGGCCCGTGCACCTACGTCCTACGCACCGGCGACCGCGCGGGTGAGCAGTGCGGGGGTGCGCACTCCACCCAGCGCTGCTTTGGCCGCCTGACGGACGCTTGGCGTCACCAGTTCCCTGAGGCCACTGAGATCCCCCGCTGGGGTGAGCTGTCTAGGGCGGGTGTAGCTGTCTTTGACCTTGACTTTGATGCTATTCTTGCTGCCATGTATACTGTGACTATTAGTGATGAGG